GCTCGAACCCACGAGCTGAGATCATGACGTGAGCTAAAGTTGGATGCTTAACCGATTGAGCCACCCAGGTGCCCAAACCATATTTTATTTGTACGTTGTGTAACTCTTCATCTTGCAATATGAAACTCTGCCCCCATTAAACACCTCCTCCTCCTCCTCCCTCTATCCCACGGCCAGCCCATTCTACTTTCTGTCTCCATGAATTTGAGGACTCCGGGTACTTCATAGAAGTGGAATCATACATCTGTCTTTGTGATCAGCATATCTCAGTTACCATAATGTCTTCCAGATTCATCTGTGTTGCAGCATGTACCAAAATTCAGTCTTTTAAAGGCTGAATAATATTTCTTTGGGGGGCCCCGGTTGGCTCAGTCGGTTGAGTGTCTGACTCTTGATTTAGGCTCAGGTCATGATCCAAGCAAGGGTCTTGGGATTGAGCCCCAAGTCAGGCTCCGTGCTGAGAGTGGAGCCTGCTTAAGATTCTCTTTCTCTCCCTCTCCCTCTGCCCCTCTCCCCTGTTCTCTCTCCCTAAACATTAAAAAAGAAAATGATTTTTTTAAAGTAATCTCCACCCAGTGTGAGGCTTCAACCTACAACCCTGTGATCAAGAGTGACAGGCTCTTAGGGGCACCTAGGTGGTTTAGTCGGTTAAGCGTCCGATTTTGGTTCAGGTCATGACCTCATGGTTCATGGGTTCGAGCCCCCCCTTTGTGCTCTGTGCTGACAGCTCAGAGCCTGGACCCTGCTTCAGACTCCGCGTCTCCCTCTCTCTCTGTCCCTCCCCTGCTCACCCTCTCTCTCTCAAAATAAAAATAAATAAATAAATAAATATTAGGGCACAGACTAGAAATAAAAGGAAGGGAAGAGGGGTGCCTGGGCGGCTCAGTTCGTTGAGCATCTGACTTTGGCTCAGCACATGATCTCACGGTTCATGGGTTTGAGCCCCATATCAGACTAGCTACTGTCAGCACAGAGCCCACTTCAGACCCTCTGTCCCTCTCTCTCTCTGCCCCTCCCCTGCTTGCGCTCTCTCTCCTTCTCAAAAATAAACATCAGGGTTGCCTGTGTGGTTCAGTCGGTTAAGTGACTTCGGCTCAGGTCATGATCTCACAGTTCGTGAGTTCGAGCCCCGCGTCGGGCTCTGTGCTGACAGCTCAGAGCCTGGAGCCTGCTTCAGATTCTGTGTCCCCCTCTCTCTGCCCCTCCCTTGTCTGCACTTTGTCTCTCTCTCTCTCTCAGAGTTAAATAAACATTAAGAAAAAATTTAATAAAAACATTAAAAAAAAAAGGAAGAGAATAGACACATTGTGCAAGTGGTAACAGGAAGCTGGCATAGCTGTTTTAACATCAGGCAATGGAGACTCTAAGAAAGAGAGTAGTATCAGGTGAGGTACATCATTTCATAATATCCAAGAGAACTGATCATTTTTATTTTCCCACCAGCTTTATTGAGGCATAGTTGACTTATCAGCTTGTGTAAGTGATCATTTTTCTTTACGTTTTCGGTCATACTCTTACGTGGTAGGGTTGGTGAGGAAAAGTTGTGAACTGAAGAGAATTGCATTGCCAGAGGCGGGGCGGCATGGGAAGTAATGGTGGATACGTGGGTACATTTGGGTGGAACTAAAAGTCAAGACCACTGTGCTGAAGGGATTACTTGAAATTGAGATTGTGGATGCTGAAGATGTTGGTAAGAGCCAAGTCAGGACTGTCTGTGGGGTAAGCAGTAGAGTGAAGAATATGACCGTTGTGAGGATGGAAGTCAAGAAAATGAACAGCAAAGTTAATGCGGTGAGGTTTTTTTAAATGTTTTAATGTGTTTTGTTTTTGTTTTTTTTTTGAGAGAGTGACAGAGTGTAAGTGGGGGAGGGGCAGAGAGAGAGGGAGACACAGAATCCAAAGCAGGCTCCAGGCTCTGAACTGTCAGCATAGAGTCCGACGTGGGGCTCCAACTCATGAGCCATGAGATCATGACCTGAGCCAAAGTCAAGAGTAGGACGCTAAACCAACTGAGCCACTCAGGCGCCCCTAGTTTCCTTTTTGTTTTTTGTGTTTTTAATATTTTTAAATGTTTATTTTGAGAGAGAGAGAGAGAGAGAGAGAGAGAGAGAGAGAGAGAGAGAGAGAGAAAGGGGACAGGGTGGAGAGAGACTCCCAAACAGACTCCACGCTGTCAGCACAGAGCCCGATGTGGGGCTTGAACCCACGAACTGTGAGATCATGACCTGAGCCGAAGTCGGACGCTTAACCGACTGAACCATCCAGGCGCCCCTCTTTTTATGTATATAAAGATATTTTCTTAATGGTTACCATGGGGATTTTAGCCAACATTCTAAATTTGTAACAATCTAGTTTGAGCTGATGCCAACTTCGATTCAGTAACAGAGACACCATGCTCCTATCACTGTCAGTTATAGGTTTACTTTTGTGCCCATTAACACAGACATCATTTCTGATGCATTTATCCTTTATATCACGCAGGAAATCAGAGGGATTACAAATATTTACCTGTGTAGTTACGGTTTCTTTACATGCCTTCAAATTACTGCCGTGTGCCATTTCATGTCAACCTGAAAGACTCCCTTTAGCATCTTTCAAAAATCTTAATGTTTATTTTTGAGATACAGAACATGAGTGGGGGAGGGGCAGAGAGAGAGGGAGACACAGAACCTGAAGCAGGCTCCAGGCTCCAAGCTATCAGCACAGAGCCCGATGCGGGGCTAGAACCCATGAACCGTGAGATCATGACCTGAACAGAAGTCGGATGCTTGACCGAGTCACCCCAGGCGCTCCTTTGGCATTTCCTGTAGGGCAGGTCTGTTAACAAGCAACTCCTTGGTCTTTTATCTGGGAATGTCCTCACTTTTGTCTAGTTTTTAAAGGACAGTTTTGACGGATAAAGAATTCTTGGTTTGCAGCCTTTTCTTTCAGCACTTTTATCATTCCACCCCCTGTCAAGATCTTGTGAATCCTTGCAACAGCTCTTTAGACATATCCTTAATGATAAAGTGTGTCTTATGCTTATATATTTGAGAAGGGGATCATTGATTAATGTGTTATTGAGGCTCAATAAAATTCAGATGTTCAACAGACACTTCTTGACTGCCTACAACGTACATGGTGCCTACTGTTCAAAAGGGTCAGGATTCAGGGGCACCTGGGTGGCTCAGTTGGTTAAGCATCCGACTTCGGCTGAGGTCATGATCTCACAGTCCATGGGTTTTGGGCCCTGAGTCAGGCTCTGTGCTGACTGCTCGGAGCCTGGAGCCTGCTTCGGTTTCTGTGTTTCCCTTTTTCTCTCTAACTCTCCCCTGCTCGTGCTCTCTTTCTCTCTCAAAAATAAACAAACATTAAAAAAATTGTTTTTAAAAAAAGGGTCAGGATTCAGAGGTAAGCAAGTGAAAGGTCACAGGATTCAAGAACTCACACTCTGATGGAGAACACAAACGATAAGTCAGTAAACCTTCAGTAGAGGGGTGCCTGGGTGGCTCAGTCGGTTAAGTGTATGACTTCGGCTCAGGTCATGATCTTACGGTTCGAGTTCAAGCCCCATGTCAGTCTCTGTGCTGACAGCTCAAAGCCTGGAGCCTGCTTTGGATTCTGTGTCTCCCTCTCTCAGCTCCTCCCCTGCTTACACTCTCTCTAATAAACAAACATTAAAAATTAAAAAAAAAAAAAAACCTTCAGTAGAAATTTCAGTTTTGGATATGCACCAGAAGCAAATGTAGTGATGTGACAGAGCTGCATCAAGATGCCTTAAACCCTATTCTCCCAAAAACTGAGCCTGAAGCAAGGATTATGCATTGATGCTTTCATGGGCAGCAAGAACGAACTTGTCAGAACTACCCTGATGCCAGGGTGGCAACCACTGGGAGACCACACTCTTGAAAACAGTCCAAAGCAGAGTTTGAAGATTTCTGAAGTTGAAACTGTGGGGGTGCCTGGGTGGCCTCGCTCTATCCCTGCCCCCACTTCCCTTCATGCAGGACAGCACCCACCCACACCTGTAGTCTGCAGACATCTGTATTCTGTGAATACTACACCCCAACCCGGAGGTAAACCAAACATTAAGCCCTACGTTGACCCCAGAATCTGGATCCTCTGTTGCCCTTGTAGGACGCTCCTCTGTGCTCTAACCACACTACCACCCCCCGTACCAAGGCCAGACCCACAGGCATTCAAGTCGTCTAGCTCTTGAAGGCTTCAGTCTCCCAGGACCTCTCTGAGCACTAGCCATTCCTCCCCCAGCTTCTCAAACTCACTCCTGTGGGCTCTAGTCCTTCCCACAAGATGACCTCTCCCTTCTCCCTAGGACTCCTGACTCTTAACTGCTCCCTTCATTCTCCCAGGACTGGATGGAGGGTCCCAGCGCCTCCCCCCAGGGCAAGTCCACTCGCCACCCCCCTTGAGCACCACCTCCTTGCTCCTGCTGTGGGACCCCCAAGATCTCACGTGCTGGTCCCATATTCCTTCCGGAACAGGTCACGTGTGACGATCCAACAAAGTGCCAGGCTCACACGTGATTCTAATGGTAGCTATTCTAGTGATCCGGTGAAATCGCAGGTAGTGTTACTTCTTATTTCCTTGGTGAGAAAAGACGTCGAACCCGTTTCACTGGCTCACCGGCCATTTGATGATCTCTGTCAAGCACTTAAGTCTCCCTCCCCGCCTTTCCCACCAATTTGTTACTGACTTGGGGGATTTGGTTTTCTGTGTGAGTCCTTTACCAGGTGCATGGACAGGAAGTGCCTTCTTCCTGCTGTTTTTGCTGGCTTCGTGGTTTCGCCTGACGAACAACTTTCAACAAGATCCAACATGTAAACGTTTTATTTCACAATGAGCATCTTTTGTGTACCAAGAAATGCTGTCCACCCCAAGGCCGTGGCAGTAATCTCTAGATTACTGTTATTTTCTTCTAGAAGTCTGAGTCTTTTCTAAACCCGCTGTACCCACAGGGAAGGGGGTCTTCCTGTAAGAATTAACTAAGAGCAACGCCCATGGTAATGATGGTAAGAACAACAACAGCTAATATTTATTGAGCTTATGTGATATTCCAGATACACTTTCAAAGAGTTTACAAGTACCAGACGCAGTCACCACAACAGCAGGATTAGGTGTAATTATCCCCATTCCACACATAACGCACAGGGGGTACCAGGTCACTTCCCCAGTGAATCACAGGGAGTAAAGCGGTGGGATGGTGACGATAATGGGGAGGGAGTGTACCATGGCGGGAGGCTCTCCCGCATATGTTACATTGGCAGAGTTATTCCCCAGAACAAGTCTGAAATGAGACAGACATCGAGTGGTACTAGGAGGCTTCTATCCACTCACTGCACTAACCAATTCAGTAAAAAAAAAAAAAAAAAAAAAAAAAAAAAAAAAAAAGTCTACACAGGGTAAACGGTGATCACTAACAAAAAGTGATTTCTCCATTCTTCAAATCTGCCTCAAGCAAGACTCCTCTGAGGTCCTGTGAGCAGAAGGGTGTCTGGTGAAGGCTTTCTCGTGTTAAATCGTATCATGGGTTTTCCTTGTGTTGTGGAAGGAAGGAATGTGGGATGGAAGTTTCTGCATGTTCTTTGTGTTCAAGAGGTCTTCCAGCAGTGTGAATTCTCTCATGTTCTCGAAGATGGTTCACATGGTGACACCCCTTCCCACACTCCTTACCTTCAAAGGGCTTCTCACCCGTGTGAATCTTCTGATGCTGCGTAAGCTGATGGCCGTGACTGAAGGCCTTCCCGCACTCTTTACATTCGTAGGGCTTCTCCCCTGTGTGAATCCTCTCATGTTTCACAAGGCTCGACCCGTAGATGAAGGCCTTCCCGCACTCCCTACATTTGTAAGGCGTCTCGCCCGTGTGGATCCGCTCGTGCTGCGTGAGGTGGTAGCCACAGTTAAAGGCCTTCCCACATTCTGTGCACTTGTAAGGCTTCTCGCCCGTGTGGATCCTCTCGTGCTTCACGAGGCTCGAGCCCCAGCGGAAGGCCTTCCCGCATTCCTTGCACTCGTGTGGTTTCTCACCGGTGTGGATCTTCTGATGCTGAGTGAGGTAGTTGACTCGCGTGAAGGCCTTCCCGCACTCCTGGCACTCGTAGGGCTTCTCGCCAGTGTGGATCCTCTTGTGCTGGACGAGGCTCGAGCCGCAGATGAAGGCCTTCCCACAGTCCTTACACTCGTAGGGCTTCTCGCCGCTGTGAATTCGCTTGTGCTGGATCAGTTTATACACACGGCTGAAGGTCTTCCCGCAGTCTTTGCACTCATAGTCCTTCTCCCCCGTGTGAAACCTCTGATGCTGGGTGAGCTCGTCACCACGTCTAAAGGCCTTCCCGCAGTCCTTACACTCATAGGGCTTCTCGCCCGTGTGGATCCTCTTATGAATGACCAGGCTCGAGCCCCAGCGGAAGGCCTTCCCGCAGTCCTTACATTCGTAGGGTTTCTCCCCTGTGTGGATTTTCTGGTGTTGCGTGAGTTGATTGCCCCAACGAAAGGCCTTTTTGCATTCTTTACATTCGTAGGGTTTCTCCCCCGTGTGAATTTTCTGATGCTGAGTGAGCTGGTAGCCACGACTAAAGGCCTTCCCGCATTCCTTACATTCATAGGAATTCTCCCTAGCATGAGGTCTCTGGTGTGGTCTACCAGAGGTATTTTCTCTACAAGTGGGCGTTTTCTCATGGTTGGTTATCACTTGATTCAAACAGCCCTGCTGAGGGCCCTGTGATCTTTCAAACTCACCTTCACACATCCAGTTAAGGCCCAGGGATTTACTTTTTCCATTTGAGTTCCATCTGGATAAATTTATTTCGTAAATGCCCTTTTCTGTAGGTAAACTCTTGGTCCCATATGGTGACTCCAAATCTGGGGGGAAAAAAATAAACATATTTGTTTCCTTCTAAGGAGAATGAAAACAAAAAACTAACCACAAACCAAAAACCTTGTCTAAGAGAAATAAAACTTCTCTAGGAGAACAAACATGAATCCCCTAAGGGCTCTTGTTAGAATATAGAGTCCACTCCTGGGACCATAATACTTAATGAGGAAACACTGGAGATGCACACATTCCTGCTAAAGTCAGACAAGAAAAAGGAACTGTCTGTTAGACGCCCCACTATTTCCTATGCACTGACGCAATTACGCAGAAAGAAATCGGAGGGGCAGATCTCAAAAATAAAGATGATAAAGAACAAATCTGCAGATAATGTAATGACATACCTGGAAAATGCAGGAAAGTCAAATACACCACTAATGTAAAAAACAAGAATGTACAGTTGGGTAGCTGGGTATAAAATATTCTGAAATTATGTAGTGTCAGTCATATAATGAAAAGTAGTTCTGGACATAAAGACCCAACATCGAAGGCAATAAAAGAGACAATGTGTAGGATTCACTGTAAGAAACCTGGTAAACGCGTATAAAGGAATGTTCAGGAGGATCTGACCATCCGTATGATGTTAACTCCAAGGGGCTGCAAAATCCTGAACATGTTCAACTTCCTGAGGTCACAACGATGCTACAAAGTGTTAAATGATCAACTGGGAGCATGCTAACAAGGCAGCCCTTTACTGTAGGAACTGGTAATTTTTTCTTTAAAGAACAATCTTTATCAGGTACAAATGGTGTCATTACATAACCAAGTAGTAGATGGAGCAGTTTCTCTTTAAAATAGTGCAGTGATGGGGCGCCTGGGTGGCGCAGTCGGTTAAGCATCCGACTTCAGCCAGGTCACGATCTCGCGGTCCGTGAGTTCGAGCCCCGCGTCGGGCTCTGGGCTGATGGCTCAGAGCCTGGAGCCTGTTTCCGATTCTGTGTCTCCCTCTCTCTGCCCCTCCCCCGTTCATGCTCTGTCTCTCTCTGTCCCAAAAATAAATAAACGTTGAAAAAAAAAAATTTAAAAAAAAATAAAATAAAATAGTGCAGTGAACAAAGAAGTGGTGATAAAAGATCACCATTTTTTAAAATGTATTTTTTAAAGTTCATTTTGAGAGAGACAGACAGCGTGAGTGGGGGAGGGGCAGAGAGAGAAGAGAGGAGAGGGAGAGGGGGAGAGGGGGAGGGAGGGAGAGAGAGAGAATCCCAAGCAGGCCCCTCACCACCAATGCAAAGCCTGACGTGGGGCTCAAACTCACGAACCACGAGATCATGACCTGAGCCAAAACCAAGAGTCGGACGCTTAACCGACTGAGCCACGCAGGCGTCCCTAAAATGTATTTTTTTTTTTAATTTTTTTTTTAACGTTTTTATTTATTTTTGAGACAGAGAGAGACAGAGCATGAAGGGGGGAGGGGCAGAGAGAGAAGGAGACACAGAATCGGAAGCAGGCTTCAGGCCCTGAGCCATCAGCCCAGAGCCCGACGCGGGGCTCGAACTCACGGACCGTGAGATCGTGACCTGAGCTGAAGTTGGCAGCTCAACCGACTGCGCCACCCAGGCGCCCCCCTAAAATGTATTTTTTAAAGCTCATTTTGAGAGAGACAGACAGCGTGAGTGGGGGAGGGGCAGAGAGAGGAGAGAGAGAAGAGCGAGAGAAAGAGAGAGAGAGAGAGAGAGAAAGAGAGAATCCCAAGCAGGCCCCTCACCACCAATGCAAAGCCTGACGTGGTGCTCGAACTCACGAACCGCGAGATCATGACCTGAGCCAAAACCAAGAGTCGGATGCTTAACCGACTGAGCCACGCAGGCGTCCCTAGAAGATCACCATTTTGAATCCCTCTGCAAAAGTGGGTCTAGGCACCGAGTGCCAGTGACAGCTAAAGGCACAAAAAGAGCCATAACCAGACAACGTCTTGTGATGTTAGAACATAACCACACCCGGGAAGAGGTATTAGTGAAAATCAGACAAAAGGAAAAGGAGAAAAGCCCTCAAAGCTAAGAATCCAGCCAACTTGCACGAATGACAAAGGGCATGGGATCACATTGTCTACGCCCCTGCTACTGGAGGCTGGTCCGCAGACCAGCAGCATCCACCACACGAGAAGTGGGGTGAAGCAGAGGAGAATGGGTAGAGGGGGATGGGGTGGAGATCAGGTTCCTGGTGGTGACTTCTTCCCCACAGGCCTTGGGCCTTTGCAGCGAGCTTCCCAAATGCCCAGGGGCACACCTGCTCGCTGCCTCGATGGCACGTCCCAGGCGGACCGGCTGTCACTGTCCTCTGCACGTACACCCCCCTCTCAACCCAGGCTCTCTCCCCTGCTCCCCAAAGCAGCAAGTCACATCTGGCTTAGAAATGAAAGGCCCTGCTTCAGAAAAAAGAAAGGCACGCGATGTGGGACTTAAACAAATCATAAGCTCAAAAATGTTTTGATGGAGACTTCGTGAAATTTCTGACAAGCTCCAAGTCAAAGTGGTCAGAATTCAGAAAAGAGAAATCATCAAAGAACAAACAGGCAGCCAGACAAGAAGATCTTATTTTAAACTCCCAGGGGCCTTACCCCTGGAGGCAAGTACAATGGGGGGGGGGGGGTGACAGTGTGGACCCGGGCCACAACTCTAGGGTTCGATTCTTGGTTCTGCCTCCCTGTCTGACCTAGTCACCCTATGCCCAAGTATTCTCGCCTATAGATCAAATACGGCAATCGTGCCAACACCATAGCTGGTGGGGACGAGATGAAGTGTTTGTACACACAGTGCTCACAACAACGCCGGGTACACAGTGGGCACAGTATCAGCCACTAACACTATGGCTACTGTTTTCCAACAGGAAAACAAGACATGTCCTGAAACGTTTACAGGACACAGTCATCCAATGTTTAACTCAGGATTCAGGAATGGGAACTTTCAGCCTCACTGCAGGTAACAACGTGCAGCAAATGGAAAGTGCTCGCTTTGGTTTTACAGGAATGCCGTTCACTCCGTCTGCCTGTATGTCAGACGCTGGTTTACCAGGAAGATGAAGTTGCTGTGCGGAGCGGTTTTCCCAGGAGGTGGGTCCCCAGAGTAGCACAGTCCATCCACAGTGGTTTGGGCGGTAACACACTACCGTAATATGGAGATGGCTGTGAAATAAATATTCCAGAATCTAAATTCGCTTTGGTCACTAAGGACAGGATGCCCCAAAGGTGGGACGATCGCTGACAGAGCAGACGAGGGCGCACGGCGCCCATTTTAGATGCGGCTGAGCTCAGGACACTCCTTGGGAAGGGGAAGAAGGAAGTCGGCTAGGTCCTTGGAACGCAGTCCCGACGCTCCGGGGGGCAGGCGGCTCACCCAGGGACACCAGGTTGCTGTAGTTCTCCAGCATCACGTCCCAGTACAGGTCCCTCTGCGAGGAGTCCAGGCACGCCCACTCCTCCTGCGAGAAGTCGATGGCTACATCTGAGAACGTCACCAGACCCTGAGAACACAAACCCACACGTCCCTGATGAGATGAGGGAGCACAGGCTCAAGATGAAAGACAGACCAGAAAGGGCTCTGTGGTAGGTCGGGCTGGACACGGACAGGACGTGGTGGGGGCTGTGACCGCAGCAGGGCCGGGCAGCTGAAGAGAAAACCCCACGGCCTGTGGGATGCCTCGTTACTCCAACCTGTCAATCCTGGGGCTCCTCCTGAGTGCCTGCCCCATAACACCTCAGCAACTGTGGATTCCTGGGGCACCCTTTCCATCCTCCAAGGGAAGGAAAATGCCTAGGGTTTTGTCTCCAAAATGTGAGCTCTTTTACCTTCGAAACTAGGGCTCATGTGTCGGAATGTTCTCAAGCCTCATGCTCATCATTTGCTAAGACTTTAAGCAGTCTTCCTACGTAACGAGCAGCATTTTCTTATTCCCTCGTGGGAACAGATTAAATTTACTACAGCTGTACACCTAGGTATAACCCAGACATCTGGGGTTTTCCCCAATTCTGGGAGTAGATGATCATCCAGGACTTCTGTACTGGGTGACCTTCTTACCCGTCGCCACCCACCACCCCCGCCTTTTCCCCGTTCCTGACTTAGGATACTGGTGCAGATTCATGTGGATGGGAGTGTGGGTCTGGCAGGTTTCCTCAACAACACAATGCATCTCCTGGGTCCCCTGGTAACACCACGGCCTCTCAGGCCCTAAGCGCAGCCCTATCCGACCCAAAAAGCCTCCTGGAGCTCGAGCTCTCACCGCACACTGACACTGACCAGACAACGTGAACGTTCCCTTTTCTCGGCCTGAAAAAAGACCAGTGGAGAACGGGGAGAATTTTAGTTTTTGCATGTGGTCACATGGGACCACCACCTCCAACTCCTCAAACCACAGACGTGGTGGCCCAAGTATTTCTCTCAAGGGACTTTCCTCCTCCGCTGCTCCCGTTACTCCTGACAAAAACGTGAGCACACAGGAGACAGTGAAATCACTGGCTTGGGGGTGAAGTGACCATTAGCCATGCGGGGGCACAGGGCTGTCTGGCATTGTCGTTCACCAGAACGGAAGACCCGAGGTGGTGGTGGGGGGGCAATTACAGGGGCCTCAGTCGGGCAGGAGGCTTCAGGATAACTCATAAAAATATCCACAGGACCTAAACATCACATTTCAAGAAGGAGAGAGAAAAACATACTTACGTGGGCCATAGTTTTAGAATCAAGAACTGATCAGTCCTCTTGGGGTTTCTTTTACCAAAGACACAAAATCCAGAGAAGCCAGAGATATACGAGAAAAAAAGAGGCATTAAAACAAGTGCACCTTGGTCCCCAAATGCCGACACACAACCTTCCTGCTCCTCTGTCTTTGTTTCCAAGCCCCGCCCCCGCATTCCTCTCCCACAATATGCACGTATCAACATGACTCGTCCGGAGAGGACACAGAGGAGTCTGCGCAAAAAGGGAAATCGCTCTCCCCGAAACCCCCGGAAACCCAGCTGCACACACACATTAGAGCGGCCTGTAGTTATGGTTTTGCCTTGAAGTCAGACCTACTCTCAGCTGTCATTTCTCAAGATAACTTTTACTTTTTAAATTTTTATTTTTTTAAGTAATCTCTACCCACAGCGTGGGTATGAACTCAACGACCCCCAGATCAAGAGTCGCACGCTCCAATGACTGAGACAGCCAGGCGGCCCTCAACATCATTTTTTCAACTGCAGCGCACGGACAGTGTCGTGTTAGTGTCAGGAATACGCAAGTCTGTATCTCACGCTGTGCACACAAGTGTAGCGGCCCTGTTACACTCATTACAATGCCGTTGTGTTCCCTATGCTGTCCCTCTCATCGCTGTGACTCCAGGGCTGGAGGCCTGACCCCCCCCCGTCACCCATTCTGCCCCTCCCCCCCTCCCTTCCAGCAACCATGCTTGTTGGTGTTCTGCATTTATGGGTTTGTTTCTGTTTTAGTTTGTTCATTTGTTTTATTTAGATTCCACATATAAGTGAAATCATATGGTATTTATCTTTCTCTTACTTCACTTAATACTCTTTTTTTAAATTTTTTTTTTCAACGTTTATTTATTTTTGGGACACAGAGAGACAGAGCATGAACGGGGGAGGGGCAGAGAGAGAGGGAGACACAGAATCAGAAACAGGCTCCAGGCTCTGAGCCATCAGCCCAGAGCCCGACGCGGGGCTCGAACTCACGGACCGCGAGATCGTGACCTGGCTGAAGTCGGACGCTTAACCGACTGCGCCACCCAGGCGCCCCTCACTTAATACTCTTTAGGTGCATCTATTTTGTTGCAAATGGCAAGATCTCATTCTTGTCTTTTGCTCTCAACTTTTTTTTTTAAACAGTGAGAGAGGACAAGAGCTGGGGAGGGGGGCAGAGTGAGAGAAAGTATCTTAAGCAAGCTCAATGCTCATCACAGAGCCCAACTCAGGGCTCGATCCCACGACCCTGGGATCATGACCTGAGTGAAATTAAGAGTCGGGTGCTCAACCTACTGAGCCACCCAGGTGCCCCTGCCTTCAACGTCCAAGAGGTGACCTACATCACACCTGATGAGAATGTCTTTGTTTTGGTGCCTCTGGTTATACCCAACTAGTCTTAGGGCAGGAACTGGCTACACAAGAAAGGCCAACCCAGGTGTTCGGGGTGGGTGCTTTGGGTCATGATCTGATAATGAGATTAGCATGGAGACAATTAGTCAATCATGCCTGGATGATCAATCATTCAGTCAACCAACCAGGCCTGTGAAAACTCTGGGCATTTGGCAATACTCTATGCATATTGTCCTACGTCCCTGTGACAGGGAATCCAGTCCTAACTCCATGGGGAGAGGACACTGGACACTGGAAGCTTGTTAATCTGCATCCTTCCCCTGTAATTAACTGTAACTATGAGAACAGTTCTCAGTGAATCCTAGGAATGCTTCTAGTCCTGATTTATTGAACCTGAAAGTCATTTCGGGAAAGTCCTGAACTTGGAGTTGGTGTCAGGGCTGAAGGTAACCCTGTGTGGATCCCGTGCCCTCAAATCTGTTCTGGCCTCTAGATGGGGTGAGGTTGGTCAAGACATGGCAGGTGGATACAGTGAAGGAAAGGCCACCACGTTCAGCACTGAGTCCAGAAAAGCTGACTGCATCGAGTACGATGTAAAAGAGTAAATGTTCATGAAATGCTAAGTTGGGAGAAATCCTTAAAAGACATGACTACTTCGGAGATATTGGCAGCAGAAAAATCAGTCTACCAAAACAGAATAATACAGTTGCAGTATTTTATATATGAACATATGTACGTGTATACAGATACACACAGACACAGAATAACCGTAACACATCAATAGAAACAGGAAACACAGAGAAACAGAAAGAAAAAGCCTGGAAAGTTATGCATCCCTTATGCAGAAAAGAGCTAAAAGAGCAGGTTTGAAATTTCTTGGCCCTTGGCTGGACTTCTGGAGGGTCCCCGCCACTCCCTGACAAGGCGGCTCACTGCTCTTAAACTGCAGAAACCATGTGGTTTATACGGAACCCTTGCTTTCCTGTGGGGGTCTGCAATTCTGGGATGTACCAGGCAGACGGTGCCTCTGTGACTGGGCCCTGATGAGCTTTCCTGGTGGATGACACTTCACATGTGCTGCTGTCACTCAAGCTGGGGGATTAAGCATGTCCTGGGTCACTGCACCGGGAAGGCGCTCTTGGAAGTGTGTGCCTGGATTCCTCCCGACATTGTCCCATGCGCCTGCCCCTTGGCTGACTGTGGTGTGTGCCCTGTCACCGGATAAACCCTGGCCACAAGCAGGACTGCCTGTTGAATCATGTGAGTCCACTCAGAACCACGGAACCTGCTGGTGGTCCTGGTGACCTGAACCCCATCTGATCTTGATTTTCTCCTTCTTTTTTGAATGTTTGGTTATTTTTGAGAGAGACACAAGAGCGTGAGCAGGAGGGGCAGAGAGAGAGAGGGAGACACAGAATCCGAAGCAGCCTCCAGGCTCTGAGCTGTCAGCACAAAGCCCGATGCAGGGCTCAAACCCACAAACCGTGAGATTATGACCTGAGCTGAAGTCGGACACTTAACCGACTGAACCACCCGGGCACCCCATGATCTTGATTTTCTTAAGTACACCTCACTTGGTGTGTAACAGCAGGTGTTGGTTGGATGTATATACGTGTGTGCGTTTCTTTTAAGTTCATTAAATGGCAGGGCACCTGGGTGGCACAGTCGGTTAAGTGTCCGACTTCAGCTCAGGTTATGAACTTGTGCGGTTCGTGGGTTCGAGCCCCACACTGGGCTCTGTATTGAGAGCTCAGAGCCTGAAGCCTGCTTCAGATTCTGTGTCTCCCTCTCTCTCCTCCCCTCCCCTGCTCACACTCTCTCTCAAAAATAAACAAACTTTAAAAAATTAAAAAAAATTCATTAAATGGCCGTTGGACTCTCAAACAACAGAGAAACTTCTTTTTTAAAGTCTCTTTGAGGGGCGCCTGGGTGGCTCAGTCGGTTAAGCGTCCGACTTCAGCTCAGGTCACGATCTCACGGTCTGTGAGTTCGAGCCCCGTGTCGGGCTCTGGGCTGATGATGGCCCAGAGCCTGGAGGCTGCTTCCGATTCTGTGTCTCCCTCTCTCTCTGACCCTCCCCCGTTCATGCTCTGCCTCTCTCTGTCTCAAAAATAAATAAATGTTAAAAAAAAAAAAAATTTTTAAAGTCTCTTTGTGACATGGTGGGGAAAAAAAGCTCAGAATACATGATCTTTGCATTATTTTACTCATTGACTTTTATTTCCTTTCACTTCCTAATATGTAAACCAGCTCTTTGGTGCATCCCCATGCCCACACATGCTGGGGCACCGACTAGACACAGGACCAGAATTCCAAGGGGTGCTCTGCAGACATTGACAGCTGTCTCACTGGAAGGCTGAACTGGACTTCTGAACTTGGCCTTCCAGCCACGGTGTCCTGTGCACAAATGCTAAACCACCTGACCCTGTCAGTCTTCACTTTGCATCAGACGTCATTACAGACGACCTGTAAGGTCTAAAACTCGGGTAGCAAATTCCATTTTACTCCACACACAGCCCGTGCATTCAGTTATCTGGTCACGACCTGACAACCGTGAGAATGATTCTCTCCTTCCCAGCACCTTTCAGAGCACGTCACCTACGAGTCTCCACAGACCCTGACTGCAGGCTGCCCAGGGCTTCCATTCAGTCTCCCTTTCGGGCCGGGTTATGGGCAACGTGCAGGTAATGATGTGCTCAGTCATCGCTCGTTCCCAGTGCTCACACCACAGGGCCAGGCCCCTTGTAGGCACTTAACAAAGATAGGATTTTGACGCAAAATTCCTCTTTTGGGAACACTTATCCCAAGGAAACAGAAAGAGGTGTACAAATACGTGTACAAGAATGTTGAAGACTTTTTAAAAATGGGACGGCTTTAAAAATGTTTTGAGATAATTGTTGACTCACATGCAGTTGCAAGAAATAATACAGAGGGAACCTGTGTACCCTTTACCCAGCTGACCCCAATGGTAACACATCACAAAACTATAGGACAATGTAACAATCAGGACATTGATACGGATGTAATCCATCAATTTTATTCAGATTTTCCAGAGAATTGTTTTAAAAGATGGAAAAAAAAATAAAAGAAAGAAATAGAAATATCTCATGGTAGAGGACAGATGAAATAAATTATGGTCTGTTATAATGGCATATAATACATTTACTAACAATGATATTGACTTATATTCCTTAAGAAAAAAATTTAAGGTAAGTTACTAAGTGAAGAAAACAGGTTTAATAAATATGTGTAATTTGGGAGAAGAGGTCTTGGTGAAATTAAGAATAAGGCCCTGTGGTCTTTTAGGATGTGAATCTGAGCTCTGACAGTTGCTAACCTCCCACTGTCTGTTCCCCCATGGGTAAGACGGGGGTAAAAACAGTATCGGGCAGGTAGGACTGCAGCACCTATTAAGATAATCTATATAAAACACAATAATATTAACAGTTACTTAATACCAGTTAGCAGCTATGATTGAAAATCAGTCACATCACACTGTTTTTATGAAAGAAACTCAAGCGTGCCTTTTCCTTTCTTCTACTGAAAGGTGCCTCTCAAACCTGTTTCTATATAATCCATGCTAACAATTTTCCGAGCCTCTTGGGAAATGAAATTCTTTTAAATCATCAGCAAAAAAACATTCTGAGACACACAAGGAGAAGAAAATGAGGGACAGACCGGAGTCTGCATGGAAAATCCAGCTCAGAATCTAACCTGAGAAGGTGTTAAACTGACAGCACGCGGCTGGACCTCGTACTCCATTGTCAGGGGAGATTTCTGTCACCTTACACCTTTCTCATGTATCTGCCCGTGCAAATGTTAGAGTACGGCTCGTATCTGTAGTAAGTCAGTACTTAGAGTCACGTTCTGTGAAAGGAAAATTCAAATCTTACAAAACCTAATTTTGAAAGCCTGTCTGTGTTGATAATTTGTTCATGGGATTAATTTTAAATGATGCCTTTCTAATCCTTGAAGGTGTAAATATGTGAGAGATTTTTTTTCCTAAGCAAGATGAGGATCACTGGAACACTTCTCTCCACGTGCACACAGGTACAGTGGGACCCACGGCTGACTTGGACGCCTCTATAAACTAACATCTGGAGGGTCTATGGCTCACTTACATTATCACTTAGCAGGATCCAGGACTCTGAGGACAAAAACCACACATGTATGCACAGACGGGGAGGGAAGGGCTGGGCACATACATACCAAAAAATCAACAGCAATTAGCTCTGGATGGTACAGTTATGGGTAATTTCGAGTTTCTTCTTTACGGGCTCCTTAGGGAACTGAAGCTTTTGCGGCAGGCCTGAATTAATCCCATGATAAGAAACATAAGAGTCCCAAATTAAAAAAAAAAATCAACAAAGAGAAAGACCATAGTCATGGGGGAGTGGGTATATTGCAGTCATCAGGGGAACACTGGGTGGACAGGCCTGTGACAGGCAGGAAAACGGTCTCCCCAAGATGTCCATCCACATTCTTGCCCTGGAGCCCGTGAATATGTTACATTACAGAGCAGAGGGGAGCTAGGGCCCAGGTGGACTTGGGAGTTGCTCCTCACCTGACCTCAACACAGGGAGGTACCCTGAATTTTGCCAGGTGGGCCCAACGTAATGCAAGGGTCCTTACAATAAGTGAGGGGGTGATAAGAGAGAAAGACCTGACCACTGAGGCAGGGTCAGAGTCACTGGGATCCAGTAACTGGGTCCTGAAACACAAGGCTGTCACTTAGGGAGATACGGTCTTTGGAAACAAAGGAACAACTTCACAGTGGAGAAAACTGACAAACTACCTCAACCAGATGATCAGGTTCAAACTCAGCCATCGTAAATCGTGATGTATTCTTGCCATGACAAGATGAAAGCAATGTGATCTTCCACCCCCAAAACCATACACCCAGTCCAATCATGAGAAAAGCATCAGGTTCCGAGAGAGGGGCATCCTACCAAGTACCTGTACCTCTCAAAACCGTCAAGGTCATCAGAAACAAGGGAAGTCTGAGAAACTGTCTCAGCCAAGAGGAGCTTAAGGGCACATGACAGTGAAATGTAATGGGATCTCCTGGATGGCATCCTGGAACAGATGAAGAACATTACGTAAAAACTAAGGAAATCTGAATAAAGCACAGATTTCAGTTAATGATAACATATCAAACCTGGCTCATCAACTGTGAATTAATATCCCACCCTAACGTACGTTGTTAATGGTGGGGGAGACCTGGGCATTCTCATACTATCTTTGCAATTTTTCTGCAAATCTCAAACCATTTTAAAAATTAACATGGAGAACATGCAACCTGTAGCCCGCAAAACATGAACTATTTAATACGTGACCTTTCACGGAAAACGTCTGCGAAACTCTGCTCTAGACCCAGAACTCACACACAACGTCAAACTACGTTGCTTCCTACAGTTAAGACAGAGAGGCAAGTGAAACCCAGGAAAACAAATGGAGGCTGTCCAGACCGCCAACAAGATGGGGATAATACAATAAATCTCTACTTATTGCTTCCTGGAAAAAAAGTCCCTGCCTTTGATGAAAAGACCTTTGTTCAAGCCCCACTTTTAAGAGCATCACAAAGCTGGTAACTTTGTCATTCGCTGGCCCAAACCCTCAAAACTTCTCTGTTCTTATTTTGCTCTGGAAGTCAGGCCTGTGGTTAAAGACCGACGAAGTCTAGTGCTCGATTCCACCTTACAAGTCAGATCGTCCTGACCAAAGCACCCTCTAAAGCACCACAGGGAACCTCTCCACTGCAGTCCTCTGTTCTGTGTTGTGTGCATACACCTGCCTGACCCCCATCACACCTCTTGGGCAAGAATGACTGAGGTTAAGTTCCTATCAGGGAGAACATTTCAGGCCAAGGAAAGCAGATATTCTGAAGTCCTATACGCACAAGTCATTGACAGAATAAAAAGGTAACTCATCTGAACCTTGACTTTAAGCTGTGTAACAAGCCGTCTTCCTCCTCAGGATGCTTTTTCTGGACGACCGCTGGCCTGGGGGAAAGAGAAGGAGACACTAGGGCCTTTCTGGAGCACAAACTTATCAGGAAACACCCTCCAAGCCCACACATCCTATCTAAAACCAATCAGGAATGAGAGGGAACTGGGATCTGAGTATTTCGGAGATTCCCGGGGACCAGGCTGGAGTAACTGGGGTTCTGACATATGAAGCAGCCCCATCTCCCAAGTCAGGGACCTCTCCCCTCCAAAGAAGGAATCTCATTCCCGAGGCCCTTCGGTCCTGTTACTCTGGTAGCCCGTAAAGTCAATACTTCGTTCTAAAACAGTCATCTCATGCTACGTCTGCGCCCTTCCTGTCGGTCACTTTCGCGGCAGGGTTCGGGCTCTCATCTCCCTCTGTGACCACTGTCCTTCCTCCCCCCTCCACCTCGGGTTGGAACGTCCTCCGGTTGGAGCAGCGACAGCAAAGCTACAGGGTGCCCTGTCCCCTACTAATCCCAGCCTCGCCACCGCACATGCCGTCACGACACGCACCTTGGCCCCGCCACCCCCGCGGCTGCGCGAAGGCACCGTAACACTCCAGACCCTCCCCTCCGCCTCCCTGCTACCCGCCGCACGAAGGCACCCGTGACAGGCACGGTGGCCCATCCGACCCCCTGCCGCCCCCGCCGTGGCGCGAAAGCACCCGTGACAGGCACGCAGCTCCAACCGGGCCGCTCCACCCCTGCGGAGCCCAGTCGCGCAATCGCGGTCCCGCCGCTGCCCTCCCACCCCCCCACTCCCGCGAAGTGCGTCACAGCCTCCGAGCTGAGGCCTGCCCCCCCGCGCGCACCGCGGCCCCAGGGACCCGGTCCCTGGCACCCCCCCCCCCCGACGCTCCCGCACTTCTCCCCGCAGCAGCTCCCGCAGGCCCAGGCTCCGCGTCGGGCCTCCGCGCCCGGGATGCCTTCCCCACCGCCCTCCCACGCCGTCCCCCGCGCCGCTCCTCTCCCGGGAGGCCACCCACTCACCGCTCGGGGCCCCACGACCCACTGGAAGTCGGGAGGGGGCGCGAGGGGGCGCAAGGCGCGAGATTAACTCCGAACAGCGTCCGCGGGATGCGAAGCAGAGACGATGCTAGACCTAGCGAGCCTCTCCCAGCAGGCACGTCGCCGCGTTCCGACTTCAGAGAGGGGGCGGTGCGCCGGGCCTCTGGGAAATGTAGTCCAGCAGCCCGGGAATACGCGGAGCTCGAAGCGCGGCGGCCCCCTTCCCCGGCATGCAACTCTGCGCGGCCCGAAGCGCTGTGCCTCACAGACTTCTGGGAAATGTCGTTCAGGGGAAGGACTCGCGGAAGGATGGGGGTGCGGCGGTGCTCCCAGCATGCATTTCGGTCTCCTACGTAACGATGGCTCGTCGTCTGTGTGATGTCGCTCGTTGCCAAGGGGTTGATTTTAAGAGTAATTGAGACTTTTCCCTCAGACCATTATTTGACTTATGAAAAACAAAAAGCCCAAAGCAACGTTTTTTTCCCCCTCATGCTGACGTTCCTTATACAGCCGTTAACTGGGACATTTCTTTCCTTATGCAGTGGGACTATGTGGTTCCACTCTAGTATTGATCCCATCGTAAAAGCAGCACGTTTGCCTCTTTAATCACCACTCTGTAACCGAATCAGTTGTTTTAAAAACTACCTTGAATGATGATGATGTCAGTTACTTTTGGCTTTTTCTTGTAGGTTCATTTTATTCGTTCTCTATTCCAGATGCAGCATCAGTCACTTTCTCCAAAAAGCCTGGACTCCTGTTGTTTGGAAAGGACATTAGAGAACACAAACTCCGTACTCTTGGGCTGACACTGCTTTTAGTGAACAGAGGTAGGAAAAGAATTCTCGTATTCCTGTTCATAATTTTCAAATTAAATCTGACCTTATAGCATTGTTCTCTCAATTTATTAAATCCCAACTTTATAATTACTTATTGTCACCTACAACATAAAGGGAATGCTTTTTTATATTTTATATTATTTTTCTTTTTAAAGTTTATTTTTTTATTTTGAGAGAGAGAGAGCAGAAGTGGGGAAAGGTCAAAGAGAAAGAGAGAATCCCAAGCAGGCTCTGCAACATCAGTGCAGACCCCGATGTGGGGCTTGAACTCACAAACTGAGATCATGATCTGAGTCAAGATCAAGAGTCGGAAGCTTAACCGACTGTGCCACCCAGTTGCCCATATTTATTATTTTTCTTAAAGTTTATTTATTTTGAGAGCAAGCGGATGAGCAGGAGACAGGCAGAGAGAGAGAGAGAGAGAGAGAGAGAGAGAGAGAGAGAGAGAGAGAATTCCTGTGCTGTCAGCACAGAGCCTGACTTAAGCTCGAACTCACAAGCCACCTGAATCGAAACCAGGAGTCAGAGGCTTAACCAACTGAGCCACCCTGGTGCCCCTAAAGGAAATACTTTCAAAATAACGATGTTGATAGAACTGTGATATAACAAAAGAAAATCTGAAATGTTCTCCATAATTCTTTTTGTCCTTAGAATGGCTCCCATTCAAGATACTGCACTGTTTCTTTATCAGTAATGAACTATTTAAAAATGGTGTTGCAACGACAGGGTAGTTATTTGGAAAAAGGTCAAATTCATTCAATAGCTCAAATTATATATCAGAATAAAGTACAAGAGGATCAGAGATGTAAAAGTAAAAAAAGTAAGTCATAAACATGATAAAAATGTGTACATAACATGGAAATAAGGAGAGATCTTTCGAACTGTAACCCAAAATCCAGAAGTTGTAAGAGACACATCACAGTTTAAGTGTTGAAAGCAAAAGACAAAGAGGAAATCCTGAAGCAGCAACAGAACAGACTCATTGTATAGAGGATAACAACAATGTGATGACTAATGCCTGGCACTTCATCAGAAATCGTAAGTGAAGGCAGTGGAATAAGATATTCAAAGTAATGAGAGAATAATAATTTAAAAAGGTCAAAGAGGAATACTATATCCAGCAAAACTATCATTAAAAAATTAGGGGGACATAAAGACATTTCCAGGCGAACAATATGCAAAGAACTTTCGTAACTCATGAAGAAACTAACCCAATTAAAAAAGAAACAGGAGGGGTCCCTGGGTGGCTCAGTCAGTTAAGTGTCCAACTTTGGCTCAGGTCATGATCTCATAGTTTGTGAGTTCAAGCCCCACATTGGGCTCTGTGTTGACACCTCAGAGCCTGGAGCCTGTTTTGGATTCTGTGTCTCCCTCGCTCTCTCTCAAAAATAAATAAACATTAAAAAAAAAAAAAAAAGAAAAAGAAATAGGGAAAAGCCTTGAATAGACATGTCACCAAAGATATATGAATGGCTCATAAGCAAATATGCCCAACATCATCCGGCACTAGGAAAATGCAAATCAAAACTACAGTGCAATTATTACACTCTTTAAAATGGCTATAATATGAAAGAGCAAAAACACTGTTGCTGAGGCTATGGAGAAACTGGAGGCCTTACCTATTTCTGCGCAGAATGGAAAATAACAAAGCATTTTCTATTTTTAAAAAAATCTATAATTTTAAGGACATGTATTACTTTCTAGGTTATATTGCACATCCTGACTGAGAAAGAAAACAATCTGAATAACCAATTTCAATATACAGATTAAAAGGCATTGGAGGTCTCTGAATCTAATAAGGTCTGTTTCATTTTATTTAAAAAAGATTTTTTTGGGGGGGCGCCTGGGTGGCTCAGTCGGTTAAGCGTATGACTTCAGCTCAGGTAATGATCTCACGGTCTGTGAGTTCGAGCCCCGCATCGAGCTCTGTGCTGACAGCTCAGAGCCTGGAGCCTGTTTCAGATTCTGTGTCTCCCTCTCTCTCTGACCCTCCCCCATTCATGCTCTGTCTCTCTCTGTCTCAAAAATAAATAAACGTTAAAAAAAAAATTTTTTTTTTTAACGTTTATTTTTTGAGAGAGGGAAACACAGAATCTGAAGCAGGCTCCAGGCCCTGAGCTGTCAGCACAAAGTCCAACGTGCGGCTCAAACCACAGGCCGTGAGATCATGACCTGAGCGGAAGTCAGACACTTAACCAACTGAGCCCCCCAGGCACCCCAAACTCTGTTTCATTTTAAGCTAGAGATAGTTCCAATGTGTTGGAATCTCTTTTAATGAAGAAAAATTAATTTGTTCATATTATTTTATCAGGCTACTAAAAAAATATGAACAAAATGAAACAAGAGAAAATTTTAACTTGATCTCCTTTAAATACATAATGTAAAGGTACAAATATGACTTTAGCTGTTTAAATGTAGCCAGTTAGCAATTAATATTAGCCAAATTCACTTTATTTCATTAATGAAAAAAAAGATTCCATATTAGAATACCAATTAATGCAGTACATCAAAATAACATATATATATATTTTTTTTAATTTTTTTTTTGAACGTTTATTTATTTTTGGGACAGAGAGAGACAGAGCATGAACGGGGGAGGGGCAGAGAGAGAGGGAGACACAGAATCGGAAACGGGCTCCAGGCTCCGAGCCATCAGCCCAGAGCCCGACGCGGGGCTCGAACTCGTGGACCGCGAGATCGTGACCTGGCTGAAGTCAGACGTTTAACCAACTGCGCCACCCAGGCGCCCCTATTTTTTAATGTTTTTAATGTTTGTTTATTTTTTGAGAGAGAGACAGACAGAACATGAGCAAGGGAGGGGCAGAGAGAGAGGAATACACAGAATCTGAAGCAGGCTCCAGGCTATGAGCTGTCAGCACAGGGCCTGATGTGAGGCTAGAACTCACGGACCGTGAGATCATGACCTGAGCCGAAGTCGGACGCTCAACTGACTGAGCCACACAGGCACCTGTAACAGATTTAAACAAAACATATTTGAGCACTGCTGTAGATCCTTGATAGTTAAATCCTGCCAAATATGACATTTAAAAAATTACCTTTCAGCAAGAATATTTCAGCAAACATTATGATCAGGAGTTAACACTGGGAACATTTTCATGAAAGTGGGGCTGAGACCAGGGGCCCAGTCAGTGCTCAGCCCGTTCACCCCTGCACAGGATGCCTGAGCCAGGACCCAGAGGAAAATGGTAAAGCAGGAAACAAAACTGGAAGTAGGAGGCTAGAACAGTTATTATTCACAGATGACATGATTACAAACCTTGAAACAGCAGATCTATTTTGACTGTTTGACTAATAAGAGAATTGAGAAGTTGGGGAGGAAGACCTTCTGCCCTGTGGTCCTTCTAGCTGAACTTAAAAATCTAACTGACACGACACAAATTAACAGGAGAAAACTAGATTTAATAGTGTACATATGGGAATCCACAGAGATGTGAAATTCAGAAGACAGTGAGGTACCATGAAGCTTACAGGGAACGAAGGAGAGGGGTATGGGTGTAAACTCAATAGCAAGGTGAGAGGAGATGTTTGGAAAGACAAGGCTGATTATACAGATGAGTTCCTTTGGTAAAGGGGGGCCTCTGTTAATACTTGTCTTCCTCCTGCAGACTCTCCTTTCCACTGTAAATTTAGACAGTTATGGGGGAGGCACAACACCTTTCCTGCATCTGCTGGTTTTTTGTTTTGCTGTTTTTTTTTTTTTTACTTAAAAAAAAATGTTTATTTTGAAGACAGCGCAAGCAGGGGAGGGGTGGACAGAGAGGGAGACACAATCTAAAGCAGGCTCCAGGCTCTGAGCTGTCAGCACAGAGCCTGATGTGGGGCTCCAACTCACAAACTGGGAGATCGTGACCTGAGCTGAAGTCGGATGCTCAACCGACTGAGCCACCCAGGCACCCCTGATGAATATTTTCAATATATAATTATCAGAAAAGCATTGAGACCTCAACTGAATGATACAATTTGTTTAAAAGGAAAAAAGCTGAAACTTGAAAAAAAAATGAACACATTAGGAATCATATTGAAATATGAAATTTGAGGATACAGGAATGGAACAAAAATGGCCCCTGGGTGGGGAAAACCCTTTCCAGTGGAACACTGAGGTTGCACACACACCACTGAGAAAGAGGATCTCGGGCGCCTGCATTTTGACCTCAAACTTTCCCGTTGGGTTCTCTCCAGCTGGACTCTCAGCTCAGGAGGAAGACTCTGAAAGCAAAACATGCCCTGAGGGGAACCAATAGCTGCCCCTTCAAGCAGTAGGGTTTGCCCTGAGCCCCCACTCATCATTGACTTCAAGACAAAGATCTCTTTGACTTTCACTGCCTACCTATCCACCCACCCACCTTTGCCCCACATTTTCCTTTTAAACGTGGAAGTATCTTCAGCACTTTGGACAGTCTTTGAGAAGCGAATCCTAGGTTCCTTTCGTGTTTCACCACCGCTCCTCTCTTTGCCTTTGGATTTTGTCAGCAGGAATGGCCCAACCTGGTCTGTTTGGAACCCCACCCCTCTTGCACCCTTGCGCCCCAGCTACACCATGGTCCGGATGAGCTCAGGGAGGAAAGAAACGCTACAGGACACGAGCCTGTCACCTCCGCGGATGGGTGGGGGGACAACAACGAGGAGGTCCCGGGAGGAGTGACAGGTCCCCGCCCCAGGAGCACGCGATGCCGCGGGCTGTGGAGGTGGGGGTCTCAGGACAGGGTGAAGATTGCGGAATGCCAGGCTCAGGGAGCAAACCGGCCACCCGCGCTGCCCGCAAGGGGCGGGCAGACAGTCGAGAGGCGGGAGCCCGCGGCAAGGGCAAGAATCCGTGCACCGAGTGGGGACTTCACACGGCATCGGGTCCGTGAGGAGGGTCGGCGAAGGGTACTGTGCAGGAAAACGACGAGGCCGGTAGTGTCCACATGCCACAGGCAGAGAGGCAGATCTCCTTCCGAGCAATTTTAACCGGGAACAGAGCGGATCCCAGCATTCGGATCGCCTCCAGCGGCGTCGGGATTCACCACTGCATGGACCGGCGGGGGTTGCAGCCTTCCAGCGACCCCACAACCACGTGCGGACTTCTGCGGACCGAGCAGCCGCTGCGTTCAAACCTGAACCGGAAAGACAAACTGTCCCGCAACAGTGGGACACCACTTATCCGGATCCGCTTCCGGGTCTGCCGGAAATGCGCCACGGCCGTGCTGGGGGGGTGGGGCGGGGCTTCGGCTGGCCGGGGCGGGGCTGGCCATGGTGTGTCCTGGGATCCGGGGAGGCGGGTATGGAGGCTGGGAATGGGTGGGGCTAGGAGGGTGCTGGCTCCCGAGGGAGCCGGTGTGGGGGCGGGGTCTGGTGGTGGGCGTGGCCTCGGCCGATCCTGTGTCCCGCCCCCGGGCGTTCCTGGATCGGCCCCACCTAATGTGGTGTTCGGGGTTTGGATTCATTTAGACTACTTAGGCGTAGTGCGGGGCAGGGTTGACTCCTTCCTGCTTTATGTATATATTTCCAACAATTTAGCGTAAACGCTTAGAGTGCTGTAGACTCTCACACTGGAAGCCGAGATGTTTTCCTCTTACTGAGCTGGAAACGGTTGGAGTCCGAAGCCGCTTTTGCTAGCGGGTGGAGACGAGAGGGGGCGCTGGGCGGTGTACACACTGGTTCCACGGGGAGGAGCTGCAGCAACCCGGGACAAAGGGCCTGGGAGGGTGGGTGGAGGGGAATTTGAGCATCGACGTCACCAATCCATTGCTTTAAAATATCAATTAAGGGGCGCCTAGGGTGGCGCAGTCGGTTAAGCGTCCGACTTCAGCCAGGTCACGATCTCGCGGTCCGTGAGTTCGAGCCCCGCGTCGGGCTCTGGGCTGATGGCTCAGAGCCTGGAGCCTGTTTCCGATTCTGTGTCTCCCTCTCTCTCTGCCTGTCCCCCGTTCATGCTCTGTCTCTCTCTGTCCCAAAAATAAATAAAACGTTGAAAAAAAATTTAAAAAAAATCAATTAAAAAAAAACTTAAAAAATAGGCATTAATTCCTTGGTTCCTTTTTATCTTCATTGTGTTGGTCTATTACGTGCTGGAGGTGAGCTATAAATCTATGCATGTATCTTGAAATAAAGTTAGATTGCGTCTACTTGTTTGCAATTAACTGAAATTTTCTTTTGTCCTGCTGTAACCTCACATTTGATAGATGTTCTGTTGTTACCGAACCCCAAGTTCAGGTCCTTGTGGCTCAGAAGGCCCAAGAGATGAATGTTGATTGGAAAGGAATTTGAGCTTTAGTCAGGAGCCTGGCCACCCTGGGAGAGGACAGATTTGTCCCAGGGCCAACACCAAGGAAGGTTTCTGCCTGGCCCAGGGATTTTTAAAGGAGTTTGGGGCAGTTGATCCGTAAAGGGAGGGCAGTGCTCCCTGGAACATTTCTTGATTACCTGCAGACTCACTGATGCCAGCTACAGATGTTATCTCCGTGTTCTGAGGTTGTGCAAGGGGGTCTGGTTCCTCAGTGTCCAGGTGCTAGTGCTCGTGGATTTGGATTCTGTTTCATGAAGTGCAGAGGTGCTCTGTTGTTTCTAGGAAAGAATGCATGATCTATAGATACTCAAGGACAGGATAGTTAATCACGAGGGCTAAGGGTGCTTGCTAAAGCTTAAAGACTATTAGGTTGCCTGGAGGAGCCCAGGTGGTTTCACTATATGTGTCTTAAAGTGGAATAAGGGTATTTCTGAGGCTCCTGGGTGGCTCAGTTGGTTAAGTGTCTGGTGATTTCAGCTCAGGTCATGATCTCACAGTTCATGGGATTGAGCCCTGTGTGGCACTCTGCTGACAGCACGGAGTCTGCTTGGCATTCTGTCTCTTCCTCTCTCTCTCTCTACGCCTCTCCAGCTCATGCTCTTTCTCTCTCTCTCAAAATAAATAAATAAAAAAAAATTTTTTTTTTAAAGAGTATTTCTGGGGCACCTGGGTGGCTCAGTCAGTTAAGGGTCCAACTCTGGCTCCAGTCATGATCTCTCAGTTTGTGAGTTTGAGCCTCACATGGAGCTGTGTGCTGACAGCTCAAAGCCTGGAGCCTGCTTCAGATTCTGTCTCCCTCTCTCTCTCTCTGCCCCTCTTACACTTGTGAGCGCACGCATGCGCTCTCTCTCTCTCAAAAATAAATGTTAAAAATTAAAAAAAAAAAAGTATTTCTTAGGGGTGTGCCTGGTTGGCTCAGTTGATGGAGTATGCAACTCTTCTCAGAGTTGTGAGTTTGAGCTCCATATTGGGTGAAGAACTTACTTAAACACGCACACACACACCAAAAGTGCAAGAAGAAACAGTACTTAAACACATATATTTTATGTGTTTATGTAGAGAACTATTATAAGTTATTAAGTAAAAGTATTTCCACAGTGGAAAAAACTAATGAGTTCATAGTTCTTTGGGGCAGATAATTGTTCCTCAATTGTCAGAGGGAAAAATGTACCATATACATCAATCCTAGCATGTCAGAATTCCACTGAAAGGAAACCAGGTTTCCAAATCTTTTACAGGTTTCAAAATTTCTTACTTGTTTCAAAATATTTCACAAGTTTTCTCAATGATTGGGTGAGGTATTGGCACGTTGATATCTCTAAAATAATCAACTCTTCTCAAACGATGACAAGAATATGTAAAGAAAACACAAAGACATGAAAACAGATGGAGCTTATAATTCATACTGATGGAGAAGTGGCCCCAATTCTTTTTTTAAAAAATCATTATTTAAGTATAGTGGACATACAATGTTACATACACTTCAGGTAACAGTGGTTGACAATATGTTCCTCAATGCTCACCATGATAAATTTAGCCACCATAGAATGTTATGACAGTATTATTGACTATATTCCCTATACTGACTTATTTATCTTATAACTTCAAGTTTGTACCTTTTAATCCCCTTCACTTATTTCACCCTCTCCCTATTCTTCTCCCATCTGGCAAGCACATGTTTGACCTCTGGGTTTGGTTTTTTTGTTTTGTTTTGATTTTTACACTCCACGTATAAATGAAATCCTATGGTATTTGTCTTTCTCTGTCTAGTGTATTTCACTTAGCATAATACCCAATCCTGATTCTTTAAAAAAAAAAATTCTTATAGTTATTTATTTTTGAGAAACAGCGAGACACAGCGTGAGCAGGGGAGGGCCAGAGGGAAAAGCAGACAGACTCTGAAGCAGGCTCCAGGCCCCGAGCTGTCAGCACAGAGCCTGACTGGGGCTCAAACCCATGAACTGTGAGATCATGACCTGAGCCGAAGTTGGACACTCAACTGCCTGAGCCAGCCAGGTGCCCCAATCCTGATTCTTAACAGCAAAACTCTTTCCTATCTGACAACTGCTACTAAAGCCACATCCTGGGGTGCCTGGGTGGCTTGGTCGGTTAAGCGTCTGACTTCGGCTCAGGTCATGATCTCACGGTCTGTGAATTCGAGCCCCGCGTTGGGCTCTGTGCTGACAGCTCAGAGCCTGGAGCCTGTTTCAGATTCTGTGTCTCCCTCTCTCTCTGCCCCTCCCCTGTTCATGCTCTGTCTCTCTCTGTCTCAAAAATAAATAAACGTTAAAAAAAAATAAAGCCACATCCTAATACATTTTTTTTTTTGCCCTGCCAGGTCAATTTTTCTTTAAATTTACATCCAGATTAGTTAGCATATAGTGCAATAATGATTTTAGGAGTAGATTCCAGTGATTCATCCCCTATGTATAATACACCATGCTCATCCCAACAAGTGTCTTCCTTAATGTCCCTTAGCCATTTAGCCCATCCCCCACACCCACAACCCTTCCAGCAACCCTCAGTTTTTTTCTATGTATTTAAGAGTCTCTTATGTTTTATCCCTGTCCCTGTTTTTATATTATTTTTGCTTCCCTTACCTTACGTTCTGTTTTGTATCTTAAGTTCCACATATGAATGAAGTCATATGATATTTGTCTTTCTTTTAGCATAATACCCTCCAGTTCTATCCGCGTAGTTGCAAATGGCAAGATTTCATTCTTTTTGATTGCCAAGTGATACTCTATTGTATATATATATACCACATCTTCTTTATCCATTCATCCGTCGCACATCCTAATACTTTTAAAACTTAAATGTTTATTGGAACCCGCAGAGAAAATATTATAAGGTATATTTGAATTTGACAGGCACGGAAGTCCATAGGATTTTTTTATATGTTCATCTAGGACAGTATATCTCAAAATCCCTGATGTCAGCCACATAGAGCAATTCCATCAGAATTTCTGGTATATTTTTTTAAAAACTCCCCAGGTAATTCTAAAGTGCTGCCCTGTTTGAGAAATAGCACCTAGGATGTCTTGAGGAAGATTCAGTCATGGACTGAGCTTGTCTGCAGGAAGCCTAGATCATCCTTCTCTGGGATCATATATGACCCATACAGAAATCTCAAATCTGGGCGCCTGGCTGGCTCTGTGGGTAGAGTGTGTGATTCTTGATCTCGAGGTCATGGGTTCAAGCCACCCATTGGGTGTGGAGATTACTTAAAAAGAAAAAAGCTGAAAGCTTGTTCTATTGTGGTTGTCTATGTCCACATTCCAGGAGTTGTAGACAATCCAGAGAATAGGGAATTCTGAGTGCTGGCAGAAGGAAGCCCACCTTCCCACCTCCATGTAGGAGGGAATCTTCAGGGATTGCCTTTTGTGATGTGGGTTAATACCAGGTGCTGGGAGGGTATGGGGACAGAGGAGAGGGTCATGTGTTTGGCGGACAGTTGGAGACCTGGCCAGGTGTAGTTTCTCATGATGTTGTTCTTCACACCAAGGAGAGGTCTTTTTAGGATTCCCAGTGATAAAATAAAGGAATTTTTCAACATTTATTTATTTATTTATTTATTTATTTATTTATTTATCTGCTTAGAATGATTACTTCAGGCTTTATTTTTTGATAAAACAAATTAGTCCAGTGGTGCCTGGGTGGCTCAGTCAGTTAACCGTCCGACTGCAGCTCAGGTCATGATCTCACAGTTTGTGTGTTTGAACCCCGCATTAGGCTCTGTGCTGACAGTGAAAAGCCTACTGGGATTCTATCACCCTCCCTCTCTCTCTCTTTCAAAATAAATAAACTTAAAAAAAACCCAAATTAGTCTAATAGTTCCAAGATACAAAATTAACCAGTTAAAAAAATTTTTTTTAAATATTTATTTTTGAGAGAGAGAGAGAGAGAGAG